GGGGGGGGGGGTTGGTTTTCCTCGAGTTGACTTCATAAATTCTACTCCATATTAATAATAGAAATAGTCATACCAAAGTGAGCGTATCATCTTATTCCTTACCAAAAATCTAATTTAATTTTTTTCTCGCCGCTTTCAATTAGTATTCATCGACGAGTGATTTTGTTAGGATCGAAATAATCAGGTGTCATGCGGGAGCTAGTAGAGCAAATATTGAACGACGATAAATACAACAACAAAAGAGAAATCTATCAAAAAAGACACAAACATTTAACGTGATTCGGCCAATTGACCTACGTCCACGGGCGGAGATGAGCAATCCACTATAATAAAAGAGAGTACAAAATATCAAGAAAATAACCTCACGAAGAGGCAAGCTCAAGTGATCCACTAACACTTGTCCCGTAAAGTTCTCCCCCTAAACACGACTCTTAAACCCCATATGGCTACATTATGAATGCTACTGAATGAGAAGGAAGGATCCTCAATTTATAGAAGTCAAAACTTTTTCCTACAAGAAAAAGGACTAGCCAAACATGAAAAAATTATAATTTTCTTCTACAAAAAGGAAAATACAATTATGATAAATATATTTTCCTTTCCTTCCAGAAATAGGAAAACTAAATATGGTAAGAAAATCAGTACAACCCCTAATAGATTTTTTACTATTTGGCTAGACCATTTCGTATATATTGAGTGATATATACTAGCTAGAAAAGATGGCCCGAAAGCTTAGCAACGATGCTAAACGGTCCGAGGTCAAAGGAAGAAAAAGAAAGCAGTTGACCATTTCTGTGCCATCGGACAGATTATCGCTAGTGAGAGTTGATCCAAAACATTTCATACCAATTTCATGTAACGATCCAGACGGTCGTTTTGAGTATTATATCCATGTTTCTCCATTTACTGTTTAATTTATACTTTACAGTTATTTTATGACTTACCGGGTTAGTTGATTCGGGTCCGAAAGGATTTCGGAGTGAATTGAGACACTTAGTCTCATAATTGAAAACTTAAGTTGAAAAAGTTGACCGGATGTTGACTTATGTGTAAACGACCCCGGATTTGAATTTTGATGGTTATAAGTATTATGCTATTTCAAACAAGTGATAAGTAAGAGTCATGAAGGTCAGAGGGTAAACGAGTTGAAGAAATTGAGATTGGTCGAAATTTGACATTTTGGAATAAAATACGGTCCAAGCTATAATACCCCATATTTATGGACTAGTAAGGTATATGACCTTGATAGTAAGGTATATGGATTATATTAGTATTTAAGTGAAATGAGATTTAGAAATTAATTATGTGCATAATATGTTAAATGCAAGGATGTAATTAGGGATTAGTGGAAGACAAGTGCCCAAAATAGGGGACAATTATGGAGTCCACGCAGGACTACTCAAATCTCCACTTTATGACTCATGTACCATGGATAGGTATATCTTGGTGGCTGCTCCATGGCCAAGCTTTTTTTTTCTTATTAAATGATTATCATGTGGGTCCACAACCCACTAAGTATTAATAAACCTCAAAGTTTTATTTTCAGAATATGTATATTATTAACAAGCATCACCACCTAGCCTTAAAAGCAAAAAAATATGAGAGATTGAGAGGCAACTTTGGGATTTTATTTTCAAAAATTTTCTATCTTTTGATGGGGCAAAACGTGGGCAGCAAAATCATAATAGAGAATTTATCCCTCCATCTCTCATAGATTAGCTTGTCGTAGCTGCTTATGGCATGACTGTTTGGAGCATAATTGGCAGGTCATAGTTTATTAATGTAAGATTCTATCTCTCCTACATATTCTTGAGGTTGTTGTTGTGTTATTATTAATATGCTTCTTGAAGTTGGAAGAAAGAAGTGTATAAGGTAAAATATAAGAAGCATTTATTGGATTATCATTGAGTATTTCGACTAGATTACGTATTTTTGAGGTGAAATTAGAGGATTTGGGCCTAGGGATTTAAAAATAAGATTTGAGGATTTGAAAGTGGAGTTGTTGTCGGAATTTGGTAAATTTAGTATGGTTGGACTCGTGGATGAATGGGCATTCATATTTTGTAACTCTTGTCGGGTTCCAATACGTGGGCCCCACGGATGATTTTTGAGTACAATTTCGGATTTTTTAGGAAAATTTATATTTTCATATGGAATTAATTTCTATAATTTGTATTGACTGAATTGAACTATTTGTGGCTAGATTCGAGGCGTTTGGAGGTCGATTCGCGAGGCAAAGGTATTACAGAATAAAGAATTACACGTTTTGAGGTAAGTAACAGTTCTAAATTTGGACTTGAGGGTATGAAACCCCAGATTATGTGTTATATTATTGGTTTTGAGGTGGCGCACATGCTAGATGATGGGCGTGTGGGCGTGCACCGTAGGAATTGTGACTTGGTCGATTTCATGGAACTGTGCAGTTGAATAATCTGTTGATATCCGTACATTTTCCACGTATTAGAGAAATTGAATTATAAATCATATTTAAATCATGTGTTTAAACTGTTTGGACCCACAAATATCGTGTACTTTTGGAATTATCTGCTAAATTATTATTTTACACTCAGTCACACTTTTATTTGTACATTTTATCTCAGTCTCTATAATTCATTATTGATGCATCATATCATTGATGTTGGGTTGCATATCATGATTTCTGAGAGCCCGAGAGACTGGAGAGGTTGATGACTGAGTGAGGCCGAGGGCCTAATTGTGAGGATATTTATGGGATCGGGCTGCACGTCACATCATGTTTTATTGATTTATGCCATGATTAGCTTGTTATAGCGCTTTGGCTGAAGGAGCCCCTTCGGAGTCTGTACACCCCCCAGTGAGCAAAGGTACCTACTGAGTGCAAGTGTCGAGTGCCGAAAGCTGAGTGTTGAGAGGAATGAGTGACTGTGAGGAATTAGTGACTATGAGGAAAGAGTGACTGTAAGGTTGGAGTCAATGAGAGGACTGGGTGACTGTTACTCGGAGAGGATGCGTTGATTTCATTATTATTGCATTTCAACGGTCATATATCACTGTTTTAGAAATTTCTAAAAGACATTATCTTCTGTTTCAGTCGAAGTTGA